GGCTCTTGGGAATATGGTTGAGCATTAATGTGTTCTAACTGTGTAACTGTTGCTAAAGATTGTTGTCTTTGATCCTTAAAATACTTTTTGGATGTTCTAGTTTTTGTTGTCAAAGTTTTTTTATTATTGAAAAGGTAGGATTATCTTTTGGTTTGTAATAAAATTAAAAGTAGTTAAACACAAATACACATAGAGTATAAGCTGCCACATCCGGACTGCATATATTTTAAAAACTTGTGGAAGATGGAAAATCACATATTATGCAGTAGGATGTCCTTTTTTGTTGTTTTTGTCAAAGGTTCTTACAAGGTAAAGACCTAAAGGTCTTTACCTTGTAAGACCTTTTATTTACATACATATATAATAATCAACATATCACCTCACTAAAATGTTAGTGTCATGAAAAGATGATTACAAACATTACCCTGGATGTAAGCGGAAAACTTTTTATTGGCGATATCTATATTATTGTATTTTAACAAAACAAACTCTTTGCTGTGCCTGAGGATCAGGCAAATATTTTAAACTTCGAAACGGATCGCTTCTGTAAAACTTTGAAAGTAAATATTAGATTGTGAGTATTGACCTTTTTAATATATGTGTTTAATTATGGACTCACACTTGCAAACCTTTTATCATAATAATTATTATAATAGAGTCAAAATAATATTAAATTTACTTACTTAAGTTGAGAGAAAACAGCAAACACCTTAAAAATGTTCACAGTTCTAAGTTTATTTAAATAACACTATAATTATAAATCAACACTATAATGTTACCAACACACATACATATAGTATAGAGCTATTAAAAGTAAAAATTATATTTATATAATTAAATTCAACAGACATAAATAAGATTCGTAAGGATTATTGAATCCATATCTGTTAAAAAACTGCAAATTATGCGTCTTTGTTTAGAGGTGGAGATTGTCGTTACTTGTGAGTTTCTACTTGTTACTTTTGATACGCTTTTGTATATAATCAGTTACAGTATAAGTGATTTTGTAACAAGTATATACCACTTCAGCATCTCTAGATACTGGGAATGGATATATCACGCGTCCGTAGTTTTGTTATTCTACTCCTGAAGAGGCAAAAGCCTATAACAGGATGCCAAAACCCCAAAACAAAAGAAGTACCATACCAAAGACAGAGAGAACCAACGCAACAATGAAGTGTGTGTTATTCTACTTTTCTGTTAGGCGAATATATTATAGCTCCCTTAGGAAGCATTTCCGGACTAGATAAATTGGGTTAAATTGTCTTAAAATTATCTGCGGAATCTCCAGGCTTCGTTTGTCAGAGAGTTTCTGGACATCCTGTATAAAATAAATAATTGTTTATGAATTACTTCTTTTATAAGGTAAGTGAGCTAAATATTGCCATAGAGCCATAAGCTAAGACATATTATTTTTTATTAAATACAAATTTATTTGAAATAACCTGTAAATTTATTAAACAAGTAACAAACATTTTTATAGTCTAATTTCTAAACAATTAGAAAAATAAAACAATCAAAAAATGTATATATATTTTTTAACAATTGCCAAATGGCAATATCTGGAACCTATACCCTTAATATTGCCACAGTACTGGCAATAAAAGGAACAGGTATTGTGTTGTGGTTGCTGTAATAAAAATAAGTAATAATATTAAACCTTAACTTTTAAAAAACTAATGTGAGACATTTACTATTTTTGAGAACAACTGGGGCATATGAATGTATCCTTATCATGTTTAGTAAGACCCACACCCTCTTCATGTGCGTATTGGCTACATGCAAGACATAATCTCATATCAGCCTGGCCGTCTTCGTTATATACATGACAGAACCATGATTCACTACTTTTTAAATTCTTGTTTATTTTCTTTTCTTTATTTTCTTTGTTCAGAGTGTCTTGCTCTTTTTGATGTTTGTTTATTTTCTTTTCTTTCTGTTCTTTGTTTTTGTCTTTTGATTTTTTGTTTGTTTGGAAGGTTCTTAGTTACTTTTGCCTTTGAGTGGTTTTTCTATCGCTGTGGAAAATAAATCCTTTGATAAAATAACTTCTTGAGGTTTGCTATTAATTGCTGGTTTTCGCTTTGTAACGGTTATCTTGATTATAGGCTATAATATATCATACATATATATACTAAATATTTCACCAAATCACATTTTGGTTAAATTTTTCCCAGGTTGAGTTATTAAAAAAGTTTAAAACCTCTTGATCCCAAAAAGACTCATAACTTTTCAAGACTACTTTATCCATAAGCTGCAGTTCATGCGTGGTGTTACTTCGAAGACAAAATAAAGTAACACCATAATTTTCTGCAGCTTCAACCATACTTATGTCCAGATGCGATTTTGCACCATCGAATATCAGGAGTGTGGGTCCTGTATTCTCATACTTTGCAAAATGTCCTAGTAATGAAATAAACGTCTCATTTGTCATGCTCCCTTTCTGTGTCATCATTACAGTTGATCCTGGTAGATGATCATTCCATTCAGGCTTCAATATCTTCCCTTTGAAAAGAATGAACGGTGGGGTGGCTTGCCCCAGGATTTCCACAACCCAAAATACTAACATTTTCACCATGTTAAGGCGCTGTCAAGTGGATACGTTTAGCACCTTTCTTGTTGGCTGTTTATGGATCGTTAGACGGCAACCTTTCTCGTCCATATTGTAAACGTTTCCAGGTTTATCAAACACTTCCAATTTAATAAATACTTCCTCCAATTTCTTAAAATAATCCTTTATAATAAATGGATTCATTTTCTATGGTTTTGCTGGATTCATTTGCTGAGCTTTCCTCCTAGCCACATCGGGATGTCTTGCAAAGAATAATTTCAGCCATTTGCTTCCTGCTAATTTATATGTATCAGAATAGGAAGGATAAGGAATTATCATCGCATACGAAAATACACTTCTTCTTACTATTTTACTAGTTATTGGCATGCCCACTTCTGTTTTATAAATTCTGTGAACTAGATCACTTTCTTGTTCAAAACTTAAAACACTTTTCCTTCCAAGTCGTTTAACCGAATTTTAGCTGCGATAATGTAGTCTAAGTGTTGTTCAAGGTATTTCATATAGTAATGAAGCTTGGCTTGTACTGCTTCCAGCTCTTATTGCTTCTAACGCTGCAACGAGATTCGCCTCAGACTACATGGCTCTCTTTCTATTTTCTAAAATAGATTAGAAATTTACTTTTAGGATCTAAAAGTAAATTTTCATGTTAGGTTCCAAATATTGCCATGGCAATATTTGCAATATTCAAATTATTTATTAACAATTTATAAATACATATTTGTTTACTAAAAGTAACAATATTTAATAACAGTAATAATTTGAATTGTTAAACCAAAGGCGAACGAAATTTTTTTTTGCAAAAATCAAACTTTTTAAAATACTTAATTTCTGCAGTTTTATCATAATAATGACATTATTTGATTTGAGAATATATTTTGATTCGAAAATGATATGTTTGAAGCTCGTAAAGTTATTCAATTTGTTTATAAGTCTAAAAAATGTTTAAAACTTTCTAGGCTTTCCTAGTGAACCGATTTGAATTTTACAAAAAGCGTTTGGAAGTTTGAGCCTTCCTTTATATGTACAAAAAATAGCCACTATCTGAGGGCCTTATTTAGGGCCTACTATAAATTTGAAAATTTACGATTTTTTTTCAGTAGGCTGGATTGCAAAATTATTATGCAAAACCTATCCGACCGATTTTAAAAAAAAATTAGTACACGTTTTAAACATATATTTTTTTTATTGGGTTAATGCCTCGACATCTATGATCATTGGCATGGTACAGTCAGGTACCTAGTGTAGTGTGTGTGTGTGTGTAGAGTAATTTTCTTGATACTTAGCAAAGTCGACGTCATTATCTTTGCTAAGAGACGCTAATTGTATCCGAACGTCTACGGTCCCTCTGGTGAGTACCGATCGCACAAGGATAGAAATTATTTTCATTTATGAATTTTTAATAAACGAAAATTTTCACCCAGATGAGATTCGAACTCACGACCTTTAGATTTAAAGGTAGGCGCTCTTACCACTGAGCCACAGAGGGGGTATTTTAAACATATTAAAAAGTTTTCTAGGCGGAATATGGAGCTTGTAAGTCAAGTTTAAAAAGTCGAAAACATTTAAAGGATTAACTTAATTTTTTTGTACTTTTTTTCCAATTATTGCTATTTTTTCAACAATAAATAATAAATTTTTAATTTCTAGCTAACGACATATTGTGTAAAATTGAATAACGAAACTTTTAACTTCTTATAATATTTTCTTTAGGATCAATATTTTTCGAATTATAAACGAAAATAGGAGCAAAAAAATGAAAAATTTTTAATTGTTTCCAGATTTTGTTAAATAAAAAATTTAGCACAGGGTTTGCGACTGGCGCATATTGTGATTATCAATATTGGTCCCATCCTGAAGGGATTCCAGCAAAAAATAGCTTTCTATGGAAAATTTCCATTATGGTCTGAATTTTTACAGATTGCGCCTAGTCTATACTAACCGGTTCCATCTATAACGTTTTTAGAGTGGTTGTTTTAATTCGATATTTGAGCTTACCTGACCATCTGTGATTCAAGGGACGAATTAATAAATTTATGGGGAGTGGCAATATTAGAAGCATGGCAATATTTGGCGCACTTATCTTACATGGTGTTGATTTCATAGGGATTTCGAAATAAAAATCGTCATAACTTCTTAATACTCTGTATAGTAATGCAAAGCCCAATATTATAAGAACAAGAATTATGAGAAGAATATAAATATGAAAAAATATATAGGATGTCCTATTTAATTTAAAAATATTGTATGTTTGCTATACCAGGTAGTTATTAATCACACTGTAGAATTCCACATATTGTTTAAGTATAGAGATTATCATTGCCTACATTGTTTCTAAATACGATATCTTGTACCACAAAGGAATTATCGACCGATGTGGCACTTAAAACTCACTCTGTATATCATTTTAAGGAAGGTTTATATATTTTAGGTTAGAAGAATGAAGCTTTGGTATTCTATAACAATCTTACTAATAATTCAAAAGGATTCTATAAGTGCGTCCCACCAAATTCCGGAAGAGTATTCTGGTTCTGGTTCTGGTGACTATATTCCTATTGACAGAGTGGAGGGTATTGGTATTGATGACGAAGATTATCATTCTCATGGTAACAAAGACATATACATTATTGATGATGATGACTACAATAGTACCATTGATCCACATGGCATCCCAAAATCTGGAGACGAATTGTCCAAAAACATAACAAGCAAATTCAGTGGAGAAACATATACTGAATATAAAAATGAAATAGATAAAAATACAAGTCAGCATACGATAATCTCCAATGTAACTAAGATTGATATTTTAGGAGAACAACCCCGCATGTATAGTATATGGAAAAAGCTGACCATAGAATCGAAAGTCTCCGAAATAATTCCTGACGATAATACTATACTTAAAGAAAAATCTGAACTAAATATAGACATAATCAAACTAATTCAAAATAGTAACAAAAAATGTACTGTATATACTTCGATTGAGAATGTTAATTTTGTAATATACTGTTAAATAACATAAATATTTATGTTGTTTTTTGTTGTCTTTTATTTCGTTGATAAAACCGTATTTCATGTAAGTGATTTAGAAGAAAAATGCAGAAAATATATTAAACGTAGTAATCAATTATTTTTAATATCCTAACAAATATATTTTATGGAAAGTACAATCTAGTCAGAGAACAATAATTAACTTTCTTATGCTTTGCTTATCACTAAAATACATTTTCTTGTGCACTAACAAAACATCTTGTTTTTCACTTCCACAGAACTAACCAGCTCATGATATTTGTTTTTATAGTCAGTTATATTCTGTTTTCGTGAGATGGTCTGTAAATCTCTATATTCTCTTCTACAGAATCTACAGAAGGCAGTATTTTTGTTGAATTAGAGTCAAGATGTAGTTTTTCAATACCCGAGAATATAAGGGATTGTACGAGGCTTGTATAAAGGATTGTATGTGAGTACTATTTCTGTCGCCTCGTGTCGCCTCTCGATGTGAGTGAGAGCAACATCCACTTGATCAGTAGATGTAATTATGCCTAGCTCTGGTAAATTATAATTGATATTCTTGGAATATCAATCCCCCATTTGGCGCGTCCCTGGTGGCGGATAGGGGAATGCCTTCCAGATATGAGAGGCATTCCAGATATGGGAGGTAATGGGGAAATCAAATACCTGGCGTGGACCAAAACTAGCAAAACAGTAACGTCTTAGCCAGAGTGGACGGCTGATACAGAACTCACCAGCCCGTCTGGCAAGCGAGGTGTTTTAATGGCAAAAAACCCTCTTCATGAAACATGTCAAATTATGAAACAAACGAAATAAAACCCAAGATGGGTAGGTATACTAACTCGGAATCCCACACCGGGAAACCGGTTCGCCTCAAGGATTCTGGGGGAGGCAAATATTCGACAAAAATTAATGTAGGAACGTATAACATCAGATCCATGAACGAAGACACTAATATTCACGAACTAGAGGAAGAACTAACTAAAATACAATGGGATATTACATATCCGAAGTAAGAAGAAAAGGAGAACAAAAAATACAGCTACAATTAGGAAATTTGATAAAGGTAATGAAGAAAACACCAACAATGGAGTAGGATTTATAATAAATAAAAAAGGAGTTAAATACATACAATCTACCAAGGGCATATCAGATAGAGTAGCATACACGACGATTAATTTTAAAAAACGTCCTTAAAAATTATACATGTGTACGCTCCAACAAGTACCTAATTATTATACAAAATTAACTATATACAAAATTAACGCTAATAATTGGGAACTTTAATGCCAAAATAGGAAAACAACTATGTAAAGAAGAAGACAAAATAAGACACCATGGATATGGCAATAGAAATGATAGAGGACACACATTGATGAATTACTTGAAGGAGAAGCAACTATATGCAATGAATACATTCTTTAAGAAAAAACCCCACAGAAAATGGACATGGATTAGTCCCAATGGTGAAACTAAAATCGAAATTGATTTTATTCTTTCAACGCAAATATCCATGGTTAAAGACGTAACAGGCCTAAGTCGCTTCTCAACTGGCAGCAACCATAGACTAGTCCGAGCCAAACTGATCATTGATAGTAGATTTGAAACAAGAAAAAAAAATGGAAAATATTCAGATTAGATAAGTTTCATATCCCAGGAAACAAAGGTTCTTATAAACACAAGAAGAACATTACTAGAAGAAGGGGATAGAAATAAAATGGAATACAAAGAAATAAACAAAACTATTAGAAAAAATATTAAGGAGTGTAAACGAAGAGTACAGGAAGAAAAGATGTGAAAAGAAGAGAAAACAATGGACAAAAATAGAAACATGAAGTGCTTAAAGCAGAACCTGGGAAACATACAAATTAATAGCATATAAAACAAAGAAGGAGTGGAGACCAACAATATAAAAGAAATTTTACAGATAACGCACGAATATTATACAAGTTCCTATAAAACTGAACAAAAACCAACCCAAGAAATCCGCAATCAGTTACAACTGAAAATAAAAAGCTTTAACTCTGACCTACAACCAGAAATCAGTCAAAATGAAATGAAAAGGCACTCAAAGAAATGAAGAATAACAAATCTCCTGGAAAAGGTGGAATAACTGCCGAAATGCAAAAAAATGGGGGAAAACTACAGTGGAAGTCCTTTAAGTACTAATAAATAAAGTATTGAACACAAAACAAATACCCACCACATGGAACGAGGCAATAACACAATTACTATTTAAGAAAGGCGATAGAAAAAAATTGAAAAACTATAGGCCCATAACGCTACTTAATATAATGTACAAACTGTTAACTAAACTACTAACAAACAGATTAACACATAAGTTAGATAATTAACAGTCAAAAGAGCAAGCCGGCAGCAAAAGCCAACGAATATCAAATGCCAATGTATATGGCATTTGTAGACTTTGAAAAAGCATTCGATAAGGTGGAACATTGGGCAGTAAAGAACTCTTTATTTACAAAATGGAAGAATAGACTATAGATATACGTACTTAATTTACAAAATATATAATCAAGCAACAACATCCATTAAAATAGTTGAATAAACGGGGTATTAACATAAATGGCCAATACTTGAATCATTTGTGAGATGCAGACATTGTATTAATAACAGATAAAAGGAAAGAATTACAAAATATGATTTTTTTATAGCACTTTTTCTATCCGAATTGTCGAATAAAGGCCTCTCCCATTTCTCGCCATTCATCCCTGTTGTGTGCTAGCCGTTTCCACATTGGTCCTGCGACTCTTTTGATATCGTCGCTCCAGCGCATTTGAGGTCTTCCTTTTGGTCTCTTCGCATCGTACGTTCGCCAGTTTCCGACTTCTTTGTTTTATCTACCATCTTCGAGATGTTCGTTGTGTCCAGCCCATTTCCATTTTAATTTAGCTGCTTGTTTCGCGGCGTCCTTTATTTTTGTTTTGTTCCGGATTGCTTCGTTCGTTTGCCGATCTATTAGTGAGATACCAAGCATCTGTCGTTCCATGGCTCGTTGAGTTTTTCGAATCTTGTCCATGTTCTTTTTTATGAATGTCCAGGTTTGAGCTCCGTAAGTGAGAACGGGAAGGATACAAGAATCGAACATTTTGGTTCGAAGGTTTTGGGGTATCTTTTTGTCTTTCAGTATGTATGAGAGTTTTCCAAATGCGGGCCATCCCATTCTTACTCGTCTGCTTATTTCGGTAGTTTGGTTTTCCTTGTTTACCTTTATATTCTGACCCAGATATATGTATTCTTCTACATGTTCTACTTTTGTTCCTTGGATGGTTATCGTCAGTTGATCATCTTTATTCGACATTAGCTTAGTTTTACTCAGATTCATTTTCAATCCTTTTTTTATGGATCCCGTGTGAAGCTCATCGATCATCGTCTTCAGTTCTTTCCAGCTGTTGGCTATTAGTACTACGTCATGTGTATATCTTAGATGGTTTAAATACTTTCCGTTTATCGATAGTCCCTTCGTTTACCAATTTAGTGATTTAAAGATGTCTTCAAGTGCGGCAGTAAATAGTTTTGGAGAAATGGTGTCTCCCTATCTACTCCTCGGTTGTTTTTTATTGGCCTCGTTTTCATTCCGTTATCTATCGTGACTACCATTTCAGCGTGTTGATATATATTATGTATTAATACCCTATATCTAGAATATATTCTGCTGTTGACCAGTGCTTCTTCAATAGCCCATAATTCTATGCTGTCAAAAGCTTTCTCGTAGTCTATAAATGCTAAACAGATTGGTAAATTGTTTAAATTTTTAAAAACAAAATATGATGGATGAATTAAATAGCGAATCAACAAAAACAGGTCTACAAATGAATTATAATATAACCAACCAGAAGAATTAATAATTACAATTGCACAAAAAACTACAGAACAAGTAAAAGAATATTTATATTTGGGACAACTAGTTAAATTAAATAAAGAAAATTAGACCGGAGAAATAAAGAAAAGGATACGGTTGGCTTGGGTATCCTTCGGAAAACTTTCCTATTTAGAAAAAAATACAAAATATCCCCAATATTTAAAAACAAGAGTCTTCAACCAATGTATACTTCCTGTTCTCACCTACGGTTCTCAAACTTGTACGTTTACAAAGGAAAGCATGGAAAAAATAGCAAAGACCCAAAGATCCATGGAAAGGCAAATGCTGAACATCAGGCTATCAGACAAGAAAAGAAATACTTGGATCCGCAACAAAACAAAATTGAATGATGTATCAACGCAGTTAACAAAACATAAGTGGAAGTGCGCTGGACATACCATAAGACAGAACGACGACAGATGGAATAAGATGATTATACACTGGAGACCATATAGTTACAAACGAAAAAGAGGAAGGCCACAAATCAGATGGTCAGATGACTTGAAGAAACACGCAGGCCCGAAGTGGATACAAACTACCTACAATAGAGAGACGTGGAAGAAGAAAGAGGAGGCTCATGTCCAAAATTGGACAATAAGGGCTGTATAGATAGATCAAAATCAAAATTATTCAACGCGGAGTCAAACTCTATATAAGTGACACAAAGAAAAATGTTAGGTATATCTTTACTGAGACAAAAAAAGACATGAGTGGATAAAAAACAAAAAACAAATAAGAAACATAAGGTGGTTGTCCAATTTAGAATGCGTGAATGCTATAAGAAGTGGTTGACAAATTCACATACTTAGGCTCCCTGATCACCAAAGAGAACGCCATAACGGAAGAAATCAAGCGAAGGATAGTAATGGCAAACAGATGCTATTTTGGACTGAGTAGACATATGAGAAGTAGAAACTTAAGCCAAAAAACAAAAATAACTATATACAAAACCCTTATACAGCCAGTGTTGACATATGGATCGGAGACATGGACCATCTCCAAGGCAGACGAAGACCTTTTGCTTATATTTGAACGAAGGATCCTGAGAGGAATATTTGGTGGCATTTGTGAAAATGGTATTTGGAGGAGGAGATACAACTACGAGGTATACCACAGATATAAACAAATATTTGGTGGTAAAGACATAGTATCTCTTATAAGAATAGGAAGATTAAGATGGGCAGGACATCTAGCAAGATCACAGCAGAACTACCCTCCTAGAAGAATCCTTATGTCACAACCCGTGGGAAGCAGAAAAAGGGGTAGGCCAAAACTCAGATGGAAGGATGGTAGATGAGGATGGTAGAAAGATAGGCGCAGCAAACTGGCAACGGTTGGCAATGGATAGGACTGCCTGGCGTAATAGACTTGGGAAGGTCGAGGCTCTTTCATAGGGCTGTAGCACCATTGATGATGATGATGATGATGATGAATGCTATAAGACAGAAAAAGAGAGAGAGGCATAGAAAGTGTAAAAAAGAGAGGGAGACAGAGAGGGTGAGAGAGATGGAGTGAGAGGGTAAGAAAGGGTGAGAGAGAGAGAGCGGGGGAGGGGGAGAGAGAGCGGACCGAGAGAGATTAAGGTAATCGAGAAAATAATGCGAGTCCAGATAATAAATTCAGCACGTATTTATAAGCCGTAGTTTCGGTATTAAAAGATATGATTCCAGAGCTCAGGAATTGAAAACTTCTTGGCTTGGACAAACCAAACAAGAAGTTCAACAAAATGGTTTCAATTTTGCAATTGTGGTTAATCGTATTCTATCTTCTTCATCTTAGCCTTCTATTGTGCAATTTTGAACATAGGCCTTAGCAACATACTTCCAATTCCAAATTTAAATTTTTCCAACAACTTCCGATCCCATTATGTTTATACTAATCACAAAAATCATACTTAATCATTACCAAGAAAAGTTTGAAAAGTTAAAATGCTGGCAAAATTAAAAAAAAAACAATTACATATTAAAAACACTGGCCACCAAAGAAATCGAGTGACAGTAATTCAGCACTCAAAACACAATAATGAATCCGTTGGACATAAAATATATTTTTTTATGGCTTTTTAGAAATATTAATTTTTAAAAGAATTGGTAATTTATTACTGGACAGTAAAAATCATAATCTAGCACTGAATGGAATAAGTAACAGGTTTAATTAATTTTTTAATTTAGTATCATTAAATCTAGTTGGTTGCTTCAGCGCTTATCGAACAATAAATACCATAAGGTTTTCTAATATATTCAAAAGTTGTTTAAATAAAAATGAATTATACAATAAACACATTCTTGTAAAACGATTTATCTTTTAGGTAAGGCCCGCTTCCCTTTTTTCAAGGTTTAAATAACAAGAAGAATCGATAAGAATACTATAAGCAAACATTGCGGGAAAGGCCAAGTGCGAATACACAAAGTGTATTCTGTTTCTTTTTAGTTTGGAAATTTGTATTTTATAACTTAGATTAATCTCCAAATAGATTAATTTGATGAAATAAACTTATTTAAGTAGTGACAGTTTATGTGATTGGAAGGTTCTGGTAAGTCTTTGTTTTTTACTTTTAGTTTCGCTCCTATTCGAAACCATTCTTGCTATTATAATTTTGTTTGTTAAGAGTCGGAAGGTTTAATTGAACTACAGCAAAACCATTCACAAATGTTGCTTATCTACGAGATTTTACATCTTCATACGCTTCTTCCTTTGATTTTGCTCTGTATTATATTCATTAAAAATTTCTAATATTTTCTGAATCTATTTTCTTGTAGCATTTTAAATTAGATACTATTTAAATGTGAATAAGCCACAAAGGTTAAAATAAGTTTTTTTACCGCATCAACCCCTATTACATAACATATTTACATAGCAGTTTTTGAAAGTACGTTGTAAAATTTTACAGTTTGTTATACAATTTGCAATTTTTAAGATGTTTTAGTGTTTTACTACTGTCTTCTACTAAACCTTATTTTAGGTTGGATTGTATTTTCTCTGTGATTCTTGCTATTGAATACACTTAATAGTCTATTATTAGATGTTGTACTGAAAATGGCATTTGGCAAAAGCGGCTGAGGATCCTTGGAAATGATGTATCCATGTGTGAATTTTGTATGCTCTAGCCGCAATCTGTTGAGTACCACTTGGTCACATCTTTGAGCTGGGAGTGGTAGTGAAGCAGAAGCAACTGGTTTGATATCTTATCTGGTTTGATAATTTTTAGCAGTGATTTTTGAACTTTTGAAAAGTATTGTTCGTCGGGAACATCCACGTAGTTCGGTAGTGATCGTTGTACGAAGGAAAATTTAAAAAAGTACGTGTGTGCCTGACCAAAGATGCTGCTAGTACAACTTTCAGTAAAACAGTTGCGTGAGCAACTAGAATAGTGCGATGAAGAATGCAACGGGTCCAAGAAGATCCGTTGCATTCTCCGAGAACGATTGAAGAATGTTGTACAAGAATGGAGATGACCCAGAGACATTCCTGTTTCAATCAGCAGAAGAAACAATTTTAACAAAAATGAATGAGAAATTTGAAAATGTCTCGCAAATGATTGAAGAATCTTCTAAAAAAAAATGATGATAAATTAGAGAACGTTTCCAAAGGATTCGATGAAACACTCGAATAGGTTTCTAGAAGATTCGACGAAGTATGTAATCAAAACAATGAGAAATTTGAAGAAGTCTCAAGAACATTTTCGAAGGAAGGCCAATCTTCTACCAGGATGAAACGTGGGTAAACTCAGGTACTATAAAAAAAAATTTGGTCAGATAAAAATATATTAAGCTCCAGGCAAGCCTTTATGGAAGGTTGGTCTACTGGTATCTCCTTACCTTCTGGTAAAGGTAGTAGATTAATAATTTCTCACATTGGCAATGAAAAAATATTTCTTAAGAATGGTTTGTTGAAAATTCAGTCCAAAAGCACAAAAGATTATCACGAGGAGATGACAGCTGATGTTTTCGAAGAGTCTTTTGAGCAGATAATTGAACACATACCATCAAATTCAATTATAATATTAGATAATGCACCTTATCATTCACGAGTAGTAGAAAGACTTCCAACGACTGCATGGAAGAAACAGGATATTCTTGACTGGCTGCGGAATTAGTACCTGCCTTACGAAGATGGAATGGTAAAATCAGAACTTTTAAAAATTGCCCGGCAACACAAATCTAAGTTCAAGAAATACGTAGTTGATAAAATGGCGTAAAGGCGAAACATCACAGTCCTTAGACTTCCACCCAACTACTGCGAAATAAATCAAATTAAACTTATTTGGGCACAAATAAAAAGTTATGTGGCTAGAAAAATATATCATATAAAATACAAGCTGTACGTGAATTGTTATACGAGTCTTTACAACATATTACAGAACAAAACTAGAAAGCTGCAGTAAGACATGTAATAGAATAAGAACAAAAAATGTGGGATCTTGATAACATAATTGATGCGACCATAGAGACACAACAGCTAATTATTAACCTTCAAGACGACTCGGATTCCGAAGTTGATCCTATTTATTTTGAATTTGAATAGTTTTCTAATCGTAATTATATAATAAGTAATAGTAGTTGTAATCGTAAGGTATTAAAGGGGAAAGGCGCAAAATGTCGCGTGTCAAAATATTCAATGTGTTTTAAATGTATCCATTTTTTTTTCAAATCCTGAGAAAACTAAAAAGCATTTTTGAAAAATTTATAGGCAGAATGAAATATTTATTAGAACAAATAAAAAGTTTCTTTTACATGCAATATTTTTAATTAAAAATTAACTATATTTTCTCGTTTATTTTCACCTCTGTTACATAACATATTAAAATAAACATTGTAGAAGTTTTCAGGGACTTTCTGACCTCAGTAATAATGTAATTTCATTCTGCGTTTAAATTTTTTTAAAATATTTATTAGTTTTCTCCGGATTCGAAAATAATGGATACATTTAAAACACATTGAAAATTTTGCCAGGCGACATTTGGCGCCTTTCCGCTTAATTAAATAAATGTATCTTTTACAAATGGCAAGAAACATTTTATTTTTGAATAAAATAAAGAAGTTTTATTGAAACGAAAATTACAGTTTAAAAAATATATTTATTTAGTTCAAATAAATGTTTCAATCATATACTCTACGACATCTGTAACCAAAATACCTTCGTAATCGGATTATAAGATTGACTGCTGTATTGTATTCTTCTAGATACAAGGTGGGTTAGTCTAAAACATCTTAAACCGTCAGTTTTTGGTTTAAGCCACCAACCATTTGGCTGCCGTTCGCATTATATCTATTGGTGACTTTTGGCCAAGTGGTACAACTTCCTAAATAGACTAAACATAGTAGACACAAATTATTCGGAAACTTGAAACTACGACGCAATTCGACGTAATATAAACAGTTTTTTGTTAAACAGAATTAAAATTTAGGAGCACTTAGTATGAAACCAACTTGATTTTTATAATTGTTTATATATTCTTTTTCTATTTTGTAGATCTGAAATGAAAATAATGATTAAAACGATACATTTTTTTCTACTATTCGTTTTTGTTAATCCACAATGGCAGCAGTATTACTATAAATGGAATGGAGATCACTTTGATATTATTGCCTCGGATAGATACGTTAAGAATTATCGGAAGATTCAAGCTCCAAAGTCTTATAAAATACAACACAACGATCGTGGAGGTAAGCAGTATTTTATAATATTCTGTTTAATGAACATATAAATTGGAATTATATTTTTTGTTAAGCCAGATTTATAAACGGACATAGTACATAATCATAAGTCATAAACATAACTTTAACCACAATCATAATTCACAAGATTTAAGATAGGCTTATAACTAGACATAATACCTAACCATAATATTTAAGAACTACTTCAGAAAATACAAACCTAACCAAATTTTTATAGATCTTGAAGATTTTTTTTTTGGTCTTTAGATTCATAGAAAAGTGAAATAATTTTAAATAAATATGAAGATTAATAGAAAAGTTGCTTTGGCCATGGAAGCAGTCCCACTTTATTTAACAATTGTAGCGACTATATCTGCCAGAGTTCCTAACAAGCAAAGAAGAGTAAGAAGGTTTAGTGTAAGACCCATTAATAGAAAGCGTGATAAGGAATGGGATGAGGAACAGTTGAGAAGGTATGAAAGAGCTGTAATGGGATGAGGAACAGTTCTTTAATTTTTTACGTTGGATTACGCATGCGCAAATTCCAACAATTTCATAATGTTTAATACTTGATTCATAGATGAACTTTGATGGTATACAAGGCAAATATCGAACACAGTAATTAATTAAATCTTGCCCAAGTACTTTCGATCAATAGATCATCCTCAGGGGCATTTCGTCAGTTGTGGCCAATCCGACATGAGCAGAATGTCATACATGTAAATTTGGACATAACAATACAATACACAAAGACAAACAAACACTTTAAAATTTTTAAAAATGGAGAAGCTACATCATATGTCATCTCAATATTTCCGCCAGACCGGGAGCCATTCTGTCTCCGGCTTCTATATAACATGTAGCTTCTCCATTTTTAAAAATTTTAAAGTGTTTGTTTGTCTTTGTTTATTGTATTGTTATGTCCAAATTTACATGTATGACATTCTGCTCATGCCGGATAGGCCACAGCTGACGAAATGCCCCTGAGGATGATCTATTGATCGAAAGTACTTGGGCAAGATTTAATTAATTACTGTGTTCGACATTTGCCTGGTATACCTTCAAAGTTCAATTATTCCAACATTCAACCTTATAATGATTAATTCATAAATGTTGAAAGTTACCAACTTTAAAGGTCACGTTTTAAGGACTAAATTTATGTTTTATGTATTATGGATGCTTTTAAATGGGTACATTTATTTATTAACTTTCAACATTATGCTTATATAATAAAATTATGGTTAAAGACTAAAATTATGTTTATGTCTGTTTATAAATCCGGCTTTAGTAATGGCTAGCATATCACCTTATGTCTATTAGGTGATCGTGAGTTCTAGATAAATTGTCTAGATTTAAATAAAGATGCTACTATAGTATGCGGTCTACCTCGAGAGTGCGATCTACCTGAAAGGTTTGCACAAAATAATGAATGCAAAAAAAACTTTTCCAAAAAAATATTTATATAATATATATATATATATATATATATATATATATATATATATATATATATATATATATATATATATATATATATATATATATATATATATATATATATATATACCTATATATATAATATATATATATATATATATATATATATATATATATATATATATATTATATTACAACAGTTATAATAGTTCGTCTCTAATTTTGTACTATTATAATAGATTAGTATACAGTAATTGTGATGCATGGTAGACAGATTAAAATAGGTAACTAACCTATAAAACTTCGTTTTTCGCTTTTTGGCTATTTTAACTCAATTTTCAAAAACAACTTACTTACATACCTTCAATTTTAATATCTTTATCGATATCACACATTGCGAATAGTCCAGTTTGCTTCTCTAAACCCATACCAAAACTTAAATTCCAAAATTAGTTTAGTGCTGCCATCTAGTAACGAGCAGAAACAGTTCAATTGATCATTTTTATAAATTTGAAGTTAACAATAAAAATAATCTACAATAAAACAGATTTTGTCCGTTAATACACTCTTAACCTGTGAATTTAAGTTGAGAGCTCAAGTGCGCCCAAGCGCTCACTCATCAGTTTTTACAATTAAAAATGTATTATTCGCTTTCTAAATTTTGCTTTTTAAATATTATAAAATTGTTTTATAAATTTTCAGATCGCCCTGGTAGATGCATAGCTGGTCAATTCTTCTGCAGTGAACCATACTCCTTACAAGATACTAGCCAGTTCGAATGTGAGACAGACTATCAGTGTCCAACACCCTTTAAATGTTGCGAAGTCAAATGTTTTCTACATAAAATTTGTCAACCAAGTATTGAAGAAGAAGAAACTACTGAGCAAATTTTACCGGCATCTCCAGAAGAAATAAAGCTACCAACAGAATCACCAACACTGCAATCAACAACATCAACATCTACAACACTTAATACCAAAGATATAACTGAATTAACATCAACAATCAAAGAAAAAACTTCTACAGATTCTTACACGTCTGATATAGAAACTTCAACAGAATTGTATACAACGACAACTGAAGTAACAACAAAACTAACTGATTCGTCAATAGAGAGTAAAGAAACAACTACAGTTTCTAACACTTTAAGTACTGAAACTTCTTTCGAAACTATAAAAACACAAACTCCGGCTGTAGACATAACAACTATCACAGTGACAACACAGCAAAATGATCTGAAAACTTCACCAGAAAAGAAAGAAACTTCCCTATTTCCTGATACTACAAGTACCGAAACGTCTTCCCAAACTTCGAAAATACAAATTTCTTCAACAGTAATACCAACTACTACAACAATAACACAGCAACCCGATCTCAAAACGACATCAGAAAAAGAATATACTTCTACAAATTCTAATCCTGTAAGTAGTGAAACTACTACCAAAAAGTTGGAAACGGCAACTTCTTCGATAGTGATAATAACTTCTACAGCAATAACAGAGCAACCTAATTTTACAACGACATCAAAACAAGAAAATATTTCTACATATTCTAATACTGAAAGTACTAAAACTACTAGTCAAAATGTGGAAACACAAACAGCTTCAACGAAAATAACAGAGAAAACGTCTTCCAAAGATTTGGAAACAGAATCTTCAACAGTCGGAAGTACAAATAAAATCACTACGCAGAATGAAGCCTTAACAACAATCGATAAAACTAGTTCAACTTCGAGTATTTATACAACTCCTGAACAACTAGAAACAGAAACTACTCAACACCAAAAACAATCAACCATGACAACAGAAAATAAGGAAATAACCACTTTAATCAATACTGACAATAGTACCGAAGCAACAGAACTTCCACCGGTAGTTATGGAAAGAAACACAAAACTTCAAGATTTAACTACCACCACAAAGAGTTCAACAGAACCTGCTATTTCAGATACTCTGAAGACAAGAGAACCTCCTGAAGAATTAAATCAAAAAAACGATAAAACAAAGGCACCACCACCAACTATTAAAGAAAGACAATCTACAGAACATGGTAAACAAACGACTACAACTTATATAACGAATATAAGCTCAACCGAGAAGGAAATAACTGAATCTAAAGCAATAGCAGAACCCACCGACGAAATTAATATTGATAACGAAGAAGGAAGTGGAGATGTTGACGGCGAAAATGGAAGTGGAGACGGTGATTATGAAGAAAGGGACAAAACAGACACTGATAACAAAAACAAAAAAATTGAGAGTAGTGGCGATGATACTGATGACAACGAAAATGACAGTAGTGAATATACTTTCAGTGGAGATGGTGATGATTCCATCGAGGAATTATCTAGTACACAAGCAAATGAGTATAAAACAGGGCAAGATTCTTCAAAAAATATTATATCATCTACAGAAAAACAAGAAATTCAATCCACCACCACACAGCATGAAACACAAACTACTAATTCCAAATCTTTAACAACAGAGCCTACAGATACTAAAAATAAATCTCAGGCAAACGTAGATGAACAGAAATTTAGTGACCAAACTGCGAAACTAACCGCACAATCCACGAAAGTGACTACACCAACTACAATAGCAACTACACAAACGAATGCAACCACCACAAAAGTTAAAGCAATACAAAAAGTTACTGCTGATGTAATTAATGGTGATAAAGATGGAAACCTTGATAAGTTTAAAGAAGAATCATCTAAAAAAGATGGAAACGATGGTACAGAAGAAGATAAAGAAAAAAATGTAATGGAAAGTAAGTCCTCTACAGAGAAAGAAGCTACTCAACTTACAACCAAACCATACGAAACAGAAGCTAGCCAAAGTGCATCCTCAATTAACACAACAAATAATTCTGAAAAAAATACCAACACCAAACCTTTAACCACAGAACATACAACAGACACTAGTCACAATGAGTCTGAAACAAGCTCCAAGACTAACAAATTGACTATAGAAATGACTGAAGCAACTGCAGAAACTACAGAAGTAACTACAGAAACTACGAAGGCAACTACAAAAACTACGGAAGCAACTACAGAAACTACAAAAGTAACTACAGAGACTACGAAAGTAACTGCAGAAACTACAAAAGCAACTATGGAAACTACGAAAGCAACTACACAAACTAAGGAAGAAAGTGTACCAACTACGAAAGTGACTACACAGACTAGTAAAGCGACCCCTATAGAACCTAAACCAACACAAACTGTTACTCCGGTTGCAATTAATAGTGACAAAGCAGTAAGCAATGGAGGAAGTGAAGGAAAAGACAGTGAATATGATAAGGAAAGTGAAATTATTAATATTGATAAAGAAGACAAACAAGTTGACCGTACCGGTGACGATGCAAATGAAGACAATAAAAATAATAGTTCAGAATTAATTCATACTGGCGACGGAAAACGAGACGACCTTGAGAAGGAATTTTCTAAAAAAGAAATAGAAGAAGATAATAAAGGAACAAATTTAACCCAAAACAGTGAGTCATTACACAGTTACACTGAACCCTCAACAATAGAACCTACGATAGAGACTACTAACAATAAGTTCCAGACAAGCTTGGAGGCAAATATTTTGACAAAAGAAATTGATGCAGCAACTAAAAAAACTATGGAAGAAACTGCACCAACTATGAAAGTGACTGTACAAACGACGAAAGCAACTAAACAACCTATAGAAGTAACTGCACAAACTACGAAAGAGACTACGCAAACTACAGAAGCAACTACAGAAATTAAGAAAGCCACTACGCAAACTGAGAAAACAACTTCCACAGACAGTGATGTAGCACAGGCGATTACTGTTGATGCTGCTTTTAAAGATTCGACAAAAAAACTTATAGCAGAAACTAGTAATCACGATTCAATAACAACTTCTGACAAAACTAGAGATTTGATAACTCCACAACCTACAAAACCAGAAACAACTGAAAGCCACAAAAAGCAAGCTGTTACTGAGGTTGGACTCGATAGTGACGATGAAGATGGCAGTGGAGATAATTCATATGACGATGACGAAGATAATGAATATAAAGATAACGATGATGAAGATAATGAATATGAAGATAATGATGATGAATATGAAGAAAACGATGATAAAGATGCTGAATATGAAGAGAACGATGACGAAGATGCAGACGAAAAAGATTACGGAGAAAATTATGAATATGATGATAATGATGAGGACGATGATGAAGAAAATTCTGAGTACAGTAATGAGGATTCTAAAGATAGTTTACCAAATAAAAATAAGGATGAAAGAAACAAAGCCAATCAAAAAGGATAATATAATTTGATTATAGTTTATAAAGCATTTGCGATAATTTTCTTTGTTTCTTGTAAATTTTTATCCCGGTATGATATTAGACTAGGTAAATAATCATAGAATCCAAAAAGTTTAAGTATTGCTATAATAGAAAAAAAATTCTTTAATGAATAAATGGATAATATATATGTTCAGGGATTCTACAGTATTCACTGTCTTCCCTCGTTCAACCTTTTTCATCTCTCTCTGTTGTCCCATTCTCCATCGTTCAGGCTACTCTTACTCAAGTCGTCATCTACATCGTTCGTCCAGGATCTTCGGGGCCGTCTTGTTCTCCTCCTTCCTATGGGGCTTCATTCGTTTATTCTTTTTATTCATCTGCTGTCGCTAGTTGTTCTTTCACGTTCATAGCACTTTATCACTTTAGTCTTTTGTTCTTTATATATATATATATATATATATATATATATATATATATATATATATATATAGTATGTCTGTTTCTATTATTGTTCTTTGCTTTATTTCGTCATTACTTCTCCTACCCATTTTTGTTACTCTGCAACATCTTCGCAGGCATTCCATCTCTGTTGCTACTATCTTACTGCCGTTTTTATTGTTAATAATCCAATTTTCAGTCTCGCATGTCATGGTATACTTCGCACTAATGTAAATCTGTGTTTTTGTCTTCATATTTAGGTGTATATCCAACCACACTGAGTTAAGTTGTTCTGTTCTTGTTTGTCCTAATCTTTGCTTAATTTCTTCCTCTGTTGTTGCCTTTTTCGTGATTATAAACCACAAGTATTTGAATTTATTCTTTTCTTTGATTGTTACGTAGTCGTCAATCTGTAGATCTTCTATGTCTTCTTCACTTGTAGATCTGTACTCTTTTTTCGCAACCTTAGTACTCCCATGTCTTCGCATTTTCTTTTCCATGCAGTCAAGGCTTTCTCTAAATATATTTTGAATAGGGTTGGAGATGTCGAACAACTCTTCAGGAGCCCTTTTGTTGTGGTGAAGTCTCCTATGATTCGTGTTCCCATTTTAATGAACACTTTATTTTCTTTATACAGAGCTTTTGTAGCTTCTATAAGTTCCATCTGTATTTCTAATTTGTAGATTGCCTCCCACAATTGTGACCTTGGTACAGAGTAATACGCCTTTCTTAGGTACACAAATGCCAAATGTATATCTCTATTCTTTGTTTTTTTCTTTTCCAACAGTTGTTCTAGTGTGTATATGTGGTATATGCATGATTTTCCTGCCGTGAAGCCTGCTTGATTCCCTAAGATCTTGCCTTTTATTGCTTGCTTTATCTTTTCTCGCAGTATCTTCCCATGTAATCTACCTATTGATGATATTACGCTTATTCCTCTTTAGTTTTCTCATCGTTTTCTATCTATATATAATAATGGATTGATTACGACTGTCGGCGCTTCTCCGCCCCCAATTTCCATCTTTCTCTGTCATATGCAGTTGCCTCTTCTAAGTCTCTTGCCACCATTACTGCATCAATATCGTTGCGCCAACTTCTCCGTGGTCGTCCTCTTTCTTCTTTCAGGAGGGATTCATTCCAGTACTCTTCTAAGCCATCTGTACTCTGGCATTCTTTTAACATGCCCGAACCAGATTAATTGTTTTCTTTTTATGTCATCATTGATATTTCGCTCCATTTTAATTTCGTTTCTTATTTGTTCGTTTCTAACTCTCTCCAGTTTCGATCTACCGCAGCTTCGTCTCAGATAATTCATTTCTGTCGTAATAAGTTTGTTTCTATTAGCTTTGGTGACGTCCCATACTTCCGAACCGTAAAGTGTAATACTTTGGACTATACTACCGTAAATGTGTTTTCTGGTTTCTCGTCGAATAGTTTTTTGCCAGAGGAGAGAGTTTAAGGCACATGCCGCTGCTCTGCCCTTGTTTATTCTTTCCCTGAGTTCATCTGCACTACCTATTTCCCCTCTTGTTGAAAATGACCCCCAAATATTTGCGGGATTGCACGCCTTTGATTTTGTCATCTTCCAACACTAGGTCACATATTTCATCTGTTCCCACTGAGAGATATTCACATTTTGTCATATTCATGTTTAGACCTACCACCTCATATTCTTCTTGCAGTTTTCTTACCATATAGCTAAGATCGTAGCTCTCTTCGGCAATTACTACCTGGTCATCCGCAAAGAAAAGTGTATATAGCGTGTTTTTTTCCACCGTTATCCATATTTTCATATTTTTTTACCCATTTCACTTAGGATCTGTCCAAATAGATTTTAAATAAGGTGTGTGACAGACAACCTAAGGTTATCATCAGGAAGCTAATACTTCCAGCCATAATTATCAGGGTTGCCAAATGTATACAGATAAACTTTGCCGCTTAAAACCTTCGGTGACATTTCTAAATGTAATGCGTATTTATCCAATCTGTGTAGCACAAAAAACTGTACGTGATAGGAAAAAATCTCAACGGATTTGGATTCAGCGCAAAAAATACTCTAGAAAAACAATTTTTATTCGTAGACATCAAAATCATTGCGGCACCGTGTAACTTATAATGTTGGAGGCACATAGTTAACATTTAAATCTCTTCTGAAAGTGTTTATTTATTGTAATAGTAATTCTAGTAATATGCAACTTCCAGTATGTAGGAATAAATTTTATAAAATAGTCATTTCCATAAGTTTTATTTATTTCAAAATGATTCGTACATGATATTGCAAGAAATAGAGAGGAATTGAGTCAACTGATTTCAATGATAGGACCCGACCCGAAACTTTTTCTTCTTTGGGTGCCGTGTCCCAATCGGAGGTTGGATATCATCATTACTATCTTTACTTTATCTACTGCTGCTCTGAAGAGTTCTATAGAACTGCATTTAAACCAGTCCCTTAAATTCTTCAACCATGACACTCTCTTTCTTCCTATACTCCTTCCTCCTCTTATCTTTCCCTGTATTATCAGCCTTAGCAGTTCATATCGCTGTCCCCCGTTACGTGTCCCAAATATCGTAACTTTCTTATTTTTATTGTGTTTATTATTTCGCATTCTTTGCCTATTTCTCGCAATACTTTCGTGTTAGTTTTCTTCTGTGTCCATGCTATTCTAAGCATCCTCCAGTAACACCACATTTTAAAGGACTGTAACTTATTTATGTGTTCTTGCTTCAATGTCAAGCTTTCAGGTCCAGTATTAAAAATACGTAGCAGTTCTAATCTAAGATCTTTGTTGCAGATAATTGTTTTCATTTTTACAAACGCATGTCTTGCTATTTCTATCCTAGCTCGTATTTCGGTTGTTTGATCATTATTGTCTGAAATTAAGTTTCCTAGATATTTGTATTTATCAACCCTTTCTATTGGTACATTTCTCAAATGTATGTTTGTTGGTATATTTGTTTTCTTTGTTATTATCATGTATTTGGTCTATTTTATATTCATTTTTAGTCCATATTTTTCACAGAAACTGTTTGTTGTGTTTAGCAGTAGTTGAAGTTATTCAGCAGAGCTTGCCATAATTACGGTGTCATCTGCATATCTTATGTTGTTACTAGATCTTCCGTTAATTATTATTCCTTCACTTTGAGATGTTTCTTCATAAATGGCTGCACTATACACATTAAATAGTAACGGGGACATTATATATCCCTGCCTAACTCCTCTCCTGATTTCAATTTCTGGACTGGGTTCGTTATCTATTACGATTTGTGCTCTTTGATTCCAGTAGAGGTTTGTTAATATTCGTAAGTCCCTAAGGTCTATGTTTTTTGTCTTAAGAATTTGGACTAATTGTTTGTGTCTTACTTTGTCAAATGCTTACTCAAATGCTAACACATTAAAAGCAAATAACGCTTCTCTAGTTCCTAGTCCGTTTCTGAACCCAAACTGACTATCATCTATTCCTTCTTCTAGTTTTTTATTTATACAACCATGTATTATTTTCAGGAATAATTTGTGAATCTGACTTATTAGTGATATTGTTCTGATAGCACAAAAGGTCGAGAGAACCATTATTTCGGTATGTGTCCTGTTTTGTATACTGAGTTAAATAAGTCTACTATAATGTCTAAGGTTTTATCATTCATGCATTTTAAGATTTCTATAGGGATTTGATCTGGACCTAATGCTTTACCATTTTTGCTGTTTTTTAATGCTATTTTAATTTCCTCTTTTAATATCTTTAAAACCATATCCTCTTTTACTTCTATCTCCATCTGTTCTGTTCTATTGTCTTTCAACAGTTCATTGATGTATTCTGTCCATCTCTTTAATTTGTCGATTGTATTCAACACAAGTTTCCCATTTGCATCTTTTAGTATTCCCGGTTTTCTTGTTCTATTGTTGTAAATTAATTCTTTAATTTTTTTATGTGTGTTAAAACTATCATGTCTTTTCTGGTACTCTTCTATTTCTGCGCATTATTCTTTTAACCATTTTTCTTTCGCTTTCTTAATTCTGTATTTTATTTATTTATCCACTTTTTGTACATCTGATTATCTTTGTTCTTATATTGACGTCTTTCTTTCATTAAATCTAAATTTTTTTCCGTCATCCATTGCTTCTTTTTATATCTGGTTGATATTAGAATTACTTTTTGACTTTTATCTATTGCTGTCTTTATTAATACCCATTTTTTCTCCGTCTCAGTATTTTGCAGAATTTGTTCTTTAACATTCATTAATCCGTTGTTGATTTCATCTGCCAGGCGTTGCCTTATGAGTGGGTTCCTCAGTTTACTTGTATCGATTTTTTGCATTTGTTGTTCATTGTTTTATTATTTTCATTTTGAGCCTAATTTTGGTTACCACTGGGTTGTGATCTGATCCTATGTCGGCACTTGGATAGGTTTTTGCGGATATAATTGCGTTCCTGTATCTTTGTCTAAGTAATACAAAGTCTATTTGGTTTCTTACAATTCTTTCTTGTAGTGTGTTTTAAACAAAGTATTTTCTTTCCTACTATAATTAAAGCTTTTGCAAATTGCTAGGCAAGACACTCAGATGGGATTCAGAAAAGGGCTGGGTACAAGAGAGGCTCTGTTTGCAATGAACGTTCTCTCA